ATGTTTTATAAATCCTTCTAGGCCCTCCACTTTCATGATCTACAACTCAGAGTTAAAATTTAAGCTACATATGAAAACAAACACATTTTCCTAATTTAATAGATCAATATGTTAGGTAAACTTACTCTACTTTTCGAAAGGACTCTTAGATTCATCTTCGTCGCAATAAGCACTAAATAATCATTTTCTTACTAAATGATCATTCTGTGGAGTGGTGTAGGAGTCCCTTTCATATCGAGGTTTCTTGTACTAAGGAGAAGAACTATTGTTGGCTGCCAAACATTGTTTCACCCTGTCAATCATATAAACAAAAGCAATTAGCGCTAACGATAGTAATACTAATATCTTCACTCACATATGAATATACTTTCACCTTCAACTTTTGGTCTTTCAATAAACAGTCTATACTCTGGAGTCAATTTGCAGAGTCATTATGGTCTTCCTCCTTTTCATCAAAGTCAAATTTCTTTCTGGCACCATCTTTTCCTCCCTTCTCCATTCGCTTTGCACATATTTCTTTGATAGGACCTTCTAGCCTCTCAAAACCATCATGCATCATCCCAGTCATATCTATCAATTGAACTGACAACTGCTCCAGTGTATCACACATGGTCTTTTGATACTCATTGAATTCTTTTCGACAAACCACCATCTTCTCTTGTGTGGTTTTCAACACTTTTAAAGATAATACTTCTCTTACTTGTCCCATTTCGTGTCTCCATCCTTCTATTTAGTAACAACATCAAACAAGTCTTTTTAACTGGATTATGCATATGTTTTATAAATCCTTCTAGGCCCTCCACTTTCATGATCTACAACTCATAGTTAAAATTTAAGCTACATATGAAAACAAATACACATTCCTAATTTAATATATCAATATGTTACATAAACTTACTCTGCTTTTCGAAAGGACTCTTCGATTCATCTTCGTCGCTATCAACACTAAATAATCATTTTCTTACTAAATGATCCTTCTGTGGAGTGGTGTAGGAGTCCTTTTCATATCGAGGTTTCTTGTACTTAGAAGAAGAACTATTGTTGGCTGCCAAACGTAGTTTCACTCTGTCAATCATATAAACAAAAGAAATTAGCACTAATGATAGTAATACTAATATCTTCACTCACATATGAATATACTTTCACCTCAGCTTTTGGTCTTTCAATAAACCGTCTATACTCTGGTAGCAATTTGCAGAGTCAATTTGCAGAGTCATTATGGTCTTCCTCCTCTTCATAAAAATCAAATTTCTTTCTGGTACCATCGTTTCCTCCCTTCTCCATTCGTTTTGCACGTATTTCTTTGATATCACCTTCTAGCCTCTCAAAACCATCATGCATCATCCCAGTCATATCTATCAATCGAACTGACAACTGATCCAGAGTATCACGCATGGACTTTTGATACTCATTGAATTCTTTTCGACAAACCACCATTTTCTCTTGTGTGGCTTTCAACACTTTCATAATTTCACCATCATCGTGTTGTTGTTTCTCATCATGCGCCATCGTCTAATCAATTAAAGGAAAAATTCAAATCAAAATTCAACTCCAAATTTTACAAATGACCAACAATAGAGACGTGGTCGACCTGAAAAATTATTAGGTCGACCTTGAATACACAAGTTATTACTACCATAACCAATTAGGTCGACCTTTGCTCTTCCCAAGCCGACCTATCCAACAGAATAATACCAATTTACCAATAAAAACATGTGTAATACTACCACGATCAATTGATAGGTCGACCAGACAGATTAATAGGTTGACTAGACACATTGACAGGCCGACCTTTTAAGCACAACAGAGTCTTACAAGCAAAGCCAAAGTCAACATTCTAGATAAACAAACAAAACAAACACAAACGGTCGACCATGACAAGAATTAGGTCGACCTGTTGGGTTTGATCGAGTGTTGTGCCCTAAATTCAAGTTCTCGCAATTGTCAAACAGAGGCCGACCGGATTAAAAGAAAGGTCGACCGAAATGTTCTTGTGCATGCAATCAAAACATCAAATTAAATGGAGCAAATTACGAAATAGAAAAGACTATGACAATAAGTAAAGTTGGTCGACCTCGCCTTTCAAGTGGTCGACCTCTTCAAACACGTATAGGAGCAACCACAAAGGATCTTTTTCTTCGCCAAAAATCTTACCCTCCAAGATGAAAGCAAAGCAAGTCAAATTACAAATTAAACGAAGGAAATAAAACATAGAGCAAGGAAAACATCGTTACCTATATTCGGTCTACTTGAACTTGTAGTTTGTCGACCGTCTTGACGGCGAACAGGAAGAACAATAACATACTTCTTCACCAAAACTCTAACCGTACAAAAAAAAAACAAATTCAGAGTTTCGATGGCGATGAAGGTGACATATATTCATATTTATAGATATTTAGGCCAAGATTAGAGTGAATTAAGTGGTAGACAAGTTAGGGTTACCTTTCTGGGTGTTGGAATCTTTATCCAATACAGATACGGTGTGCACGCGGTCGACCGTTTCTACTATTTTCCACAATAATTCCGACTTTGATATTGATCAGTTAATGAAACAAAGGTAGACCTTTTCATTTATGCGGTCGACCTTTTGATAGCAAAATGGTTGGCCTTTGAGATAATGGGGTCAAACTTTTATATTGTTCGCTTGCCAAAGAGGTCGAACGTTTTCTGTAAAAGGTCAACCGCGTTGATGAGCATTACAAAACTTAAACAACAGATAATGTCGACCATTTAAATTTTTGTTCGACCGAAAAGTGCAAGTTACGGTGACTTACAAATCACAATAGCAAAGTCCTAAAACTCGAAATTCTTACAAATAATGCACATGTCATTTCTAATAACGTAGTGAACCACTCACTACAGTCAAATACTTCCCTCAATCATTCCACTCACTCGCTGTAATCTTTGTATGGCTAGCAGCCAAAATCAACCCTTCTCTTACCGTTTGCAGCATATTTTTGTATTGTAAAAAATAAGCTTTTGGAGAAGGATATATGATTATACCGGTTGAAATCATCAATACAAGAAAGTGGACAATCTAATTCTTTTAAACCATGCACCGATAAATTTTTAGAGGAATCAATTTCTTATCATGTTAGGTGACAAGAACACCTAATTCATGCATTTTTTCATTTATTCACGCCATATTTGTGTTATCCACGCCATATTGATGTTATTCACGCAATCAATATTGTTTACTCACGCAACCTCGTGTTTATTCATACATATTGTTATTTACTTATGCTATTGTAAAATTAAATTTAGTCATGTTATTTAGTCATGCTATGGTCGACCAGATAAATTAATAGGTTGACTAGACAAATTGACAGGCCGACCTTTTAAGCACAATAGAGTCTTACAAGGAAAGCCAAAGTCGACATTCTGGATAAACAAACAAAACAAACACAAACGGTCGACCATGACAAGAATTAGGTCGACCTATTGGGTTTGATCGAGTTTTGTGCCCTAAATTCAAGTTCTCGCAATTATCAAACAGAGGCCGACCGGATTAAAAGAAAGGTCGACCGAAATGTTCTTGTGCACGCAATCAAAACATCAAATTAAATGGAGCAAATTACAAAATAGAAACGACGACGGCAATAGCTAAAGTCGGTCGACCTCGCCTTTCAAGTGGTCGACCTCATCAAACACGTATAGAAGCAACCACAAAGGATCTTTTTCTTTGCCAAAAATCTTACCCTCCAAAATGAAAGCAAAGCAAATCAAATTTCAAATTAAACGAAGGAAATAAAACACAGAGCAAGGAAAACATCTTTACCTATATTCGGTCGACCTTGACGACGAACAGGAAGAACAACAACAGACTTCTTCACCAAAACTCTAAGCGTAAAAAAAAAAACAAATTCAGAGTTTCGGTGGCAGTGAAGGTGGCATATATTTGTATTTATAGATATTTAGGCCGAGATTAGAGCGAATTAAGTGGTAGACAAGTTAGGGTTACCTTTCTGGGTGTTGGAATCCTTATCCAATACGGATACGGTGTGCACGCGGTCGACTATTTCTAGTATTTTCCTCAATAATTCCGATTTTGATATCGATTAGTTAATGAAAGAAAGGTCGACCTTTTCATAGCAAAATGGTCGGCCTTCGAGATAATGGGGTCGAACTTTTATATTGTTCGCTTGCCAAAGAGGTCGAACGTTTTCTGTAAAAGGTCAACCGCATTGTTGAGCATTACAAAACTGAAACAACAGAGAATATCGACTATTTTTATTTTCGGTCGACCGAAAATTGTAAGTTACGGTTACTTACAAGTCACAATAGCAAAGTCCTAAACCTCGAAATTCTTACAAATAATGCACATGTCATTTCTAATAAAGTAGTGAATTACTCACTACAATCAAATACTTTCCTCAATCATTCCACTCAGTCACTATAATCTTTATATGACTAGCAGTCAAAAGCAATACCCTTATCTTACAGTTTGCAGCTCATTTTTGTATTGTAAGAAACAATTTTTTGGAGAAGGATATATGATTATACTGGTTGAAATCATCAATACAAGAAAGTGGACAATCTAATTCTTTTAAACCATATATGCACCGATAAATATTTAGAGAAGGGGGAAAGACCACAACATACTATCACCATTATTTGATCAATTATTAACTATAGTGATCAACCGAAAACGTATGGATAAAAATGAGATAACACTCCGATTAGTATACAGGTATCCAGTGGTTTAGTAGACCCCGTTGTCGCTCAAGCGGCGCGTGAGGCTGAGGTTCCCGAATTATAAAAAAAATGTAACGCCTCCTTAATTTGATATATTTTCATATAAAGTTACAGTTCATTAAACTTACAGTGTTTTTTGCCAATGCCACACAACCACACATCTCTGTCACCACCACCGATGGCAGAGTTTCCTCCAACACAATAGTGCCAGTGCCACCTGCAAAGGCTGGTGGGACTTTTCCTCATCGTGAATTAAAGTGTGACACGATAATATATATTCGCTTGTTCATCCATAAGAGGACAAGCGTGGTCCGTCGTATGCGCGACATTGATAGTACTCCATACCATTCACTTCCTTCCACCAATCCATCACCAAGTCTCCGCCTTCCATATCTCTTATCCGAACCCCAAACCACAGTTTTTAAGGCCGCGCTGCCGGAAAGGACTCAACTAGTACTAATTCATTCATAAAAAAAATGGCAGAGCAACCGCAACAGCTGGTGTTCATCCCATTCCCTAGCGTTGGCCACCTCGTGTCCATGGTGGAGCTCGCCAAGCTTCTTGTCCACCGCCACACCACCCTCGTCGTCTCCATCCCCGTCATCACCTCCCTCTCCACCGCCGCCGCCGTCACCCGCTACACCGACTCACTCGCTGCCCCCGACTCCGATTTGAACCCCCGTGTCAAGCTACTCCACCTCGCTAACGACGACGACGACCCATCAGCTCCAGCCGGCAGCGTTCTCGCTCTCATCCAATCTCAAAAGCCCCGAGTCACAGAAGCCGTCTCCGCCGAGCTCACTCGTTCCGGGGGTCGACTCGCCGGCTTCGTCCACGACATGTTCTGCACCTCCATGTTGGACGTGGCGGAGGGATTCGGCGTCCCTTCTTACATCTACTTCACCTCCGGCGCCGCTTTCCTCGGCTTTATTCTCCGTGCCCAGGAGTTGCACGACCAGGAAGGAGTTGACCTCACCGAGTCCAAGGAATTGGCTGAGTTGGCCATCCCGACTTTGAAACACCATCTTCCACGTAAGGTCATCCCTTCCAGCTTTCTCAACAAGGAATGGGCGTCTGTGGTACACACGATGGCAAGAGATTTTAGGAAGACCAAGGGTATTCTTGTCAACACCGTGAAGGAGCTGGAGTCATACGCCGTCGACTCTCTCTCGTCGGGAAAAAACAACACCCCCAAGGTGTATCCGTTGGGACCCATTCTGAATCTGAAGGCCGAGGAGAATTCGGATGGGTCGATACTTCAGTGGTTGGACCAACAACCCGAATACTCGGTCGTGTTCCTCTGCTTCGGGAGCATGGGAGCCTTCAACGCGGAGCAGGTGAAAGAGATCGCATGCGCGCTGGAGGGAAGCGGGCATAGATTCCTGTGGTCTCTGCGCCGACCAGTACAAGGAGCGTGGGCCAGCCCAACGGAGTACGAGAATGTTAGTGAAGTTCTGCCGGAGGGATTCCTTGATCGGATTCGAGAGGTGGGAAGGGTGACGGGATGGGCCCCACAGGCGGCCGTCCTAGCTCACAGATCCGTTGGAGGGTTCGTATCTCACTGTGGCTGGAACTCCACACTGGAGAGCCTGTGGTTTGGGGTACCCATGGCCACGTGGCCAATGTATGCAGAACAACAATTCAACGCCTTCCTGCTGGTGGAGGAGCTTCGGGTAGCCACGGAGGTTAGGATGGATTATCGGACTGAGAGTGGGGAGATCGTGTCGGCGGAGGAAATCGAGAGAGGAATCAGGAGCTTGATGGAGGAGGATTGCTCGAGGAAGACGAGAATGAAGGAATTTAGTGATCAGGCCAAGGGTGCATTGATGGATGGCGGATCGTCTTCTTGTTCAATCACTGAATTTTTTAGAGACGTGATGAGTGCTGGCGATGTATGATTTTTTACTAGAATAAATATTGTTCAAAGCTCTATTCCATTGTAGATATCTCATTAATAATCAAATGAAAGTCTATGACAACGAAGTTACAAACAATAATAATGAATCAATATAGTGTGTTAATAATTACAAAACACCAAATTTCATTTATTTACAACTCATAAATAATAACACGAAATTTGTTAATAACCAATCTCAAAATGTAAAAGTTACGACCATAATTAACAAAAAAAAAAATACATGATCAAATAGAAATAATGCGTACCTTAACACGAAATTCGTTACTAACAAAATAGACATAACACACAGATCTGGGGTTCTACATACCCAAGTGATGAAGAAATGGACTACTTAATAAATCATGACAAGAAAGCTATAGATGAAGTAGATCTGCTCATGTAGATGATCCAAATATACTTTCTTCTTGTTGATCGACGCTCCAAATGGTCTGATCTGTGCTCCAAGGGTGGAAGGATGCTCAAATTCAGCTTTTAGAGGTATTTCTCTGTCACTTTCTCTAGAATGTTCCATCTAGACCTGGATATGGAAATGTGTATTTATATTATTCCCAAAACTCGGCCGAGTTTGGTGACCGAATTTCTTGATCCAGGACGAGTTTTGTGGAAACTCAGCCACTTTCATGGTAAAATTCGGTCTAGCCCTAAGGAAAACGTGACCGAGTTTTTTTGCTTGTCAGTGGAAACTCAGTCTCATGCTTTCAAAAATCGACCGAGTTTTTATTCTTCACCAGCCCGAGTTTTGTGGAAACTCGTACATCTTCAGGGTAAAACTCGATTTGGACCTTGGAAAAACTCGACCGAGTTTTTGTCCTCGATAGTGGAAACTCGGTCGAGTTTTTGTCCCCAGTAGTGGAAACTTGGCCGAGTTTCTTTCTTGGATCCAGACTCGGCCAAGTTTGTCTGGCCTTAGTCGAGTTTCATCTTTCAAGTCTCCAAACAACCTCTAAATGACCTGAAACTTGCGCCAAAGCTTCTCTATGCTTGCTAGGACCTGAAATGTGTTAAATGAACACAACCTAGCGTAAAATAGGCTTCAGAAGCAAGAATTCATGCTCAAATGACTAATAAATGAGGGAATAAAGATGTGTAATTATGGTGTTACCCTTGCCTGCTCGGATCCGATCTTTTGCACCTTTAGTGATGTTCGTAATTTGCTCCTCTAGTTGGCTTCTCTCTAGTTGCCTCCTCTACGACCAGTTGCTCTCTCAATCCTCCTCCACGAACTTGTGGAATTTTCTTAGGTGTTCATCTCAAAATACTTGTGGAATTTGTTTGTACTTTTACCCTTCAACATCCTTAAAAACTATGGTAGCTCGTACTACTTCCAACCCTTAAACATCAACTCTTTAAAATGTGGGAGTTTATGTTAATCGCCACCCACAAATTCTAAAATGTTTGATCGACATTGGGATCTCCTCACTAGCTAGTCCTGCCGCCTAGCTAATTTATGTATGAGGGTCAACCTAGGTCTAACCTTTGTGAGAGTCTTATTAATTCATTCCCACAATTCTTTAACCTTTAAAATTCATGGGAGTCTTATTGATTCATCTCCATGATCCTTAAGAGCAATCTGTGCTCTTCCTTTAAACTTTTCCTATGGCAGGAGACTAACATTAGAGAACTACCTTTCAAACTTTTTCACCCAAATTTAGTTAGTGGTGAAAAGAAAAGACAATGACATCAACTTGGAGTTGCAGTGAGGACAAAGATGATGAAATTGAAGATCACTCTCGAAGGAAGGAACCATGTCTAATGGCCACGGATGATTTATCATATCATGAAGGAACTGTCACTACATTCCATGCCAAGCTTAATGATGTAACAATTTTAGAGTTTAGTGACTCAGACTATTATAGCAAAGATGATATTTTCGCTAATACTATCAAAAGCATGCAACTTCAATTTGGTTCTGTCAAAATCAAATACACGAAGCTGAAGGAATAACATACTAAGAAAAATGCATAAATCTATTTAGGCAGTTAATCGAACTAGAGCATACTAATAACCAATTACTTGAAAAGATCTAGGAAAGTGAAAGAAAAATGCTATTGTAATGGAAAAAGACACATTTGAATGTTGTAACTCTCCGAACATTAGTAAGGGAAATAAAAAAAATGGAATGTTTTTACTGTCATAAAGGAGGTCACCAAATTATGTATGGCAGAAAACGTTTCAACTCCGAAAGAAGAAAATACCAGTTGGATGGTAGTTATCCACATATCAATGGTAAGGCTGAACTTCCAAAGAAAAATATACCAAAAAAATTTTGGGTACGAAAACAAAAATAAATGTTAATGCCGCAGGATTGCCTTCACGTGAGCATGAAGGAAAATCAATGGATACTCGACAGTGGGTGCTCACACCACATGACTGGAAACAAAAATCTATTTACGCAATTCTAAAAAGGTAAGGAAGGTAAGGTTTTCTTTTGAGACAATAATTCTGCAGATATTCTAGGCAGAGGTACAGTAGGGACTGATCCTAGCATTACAAATGTGTTTTTAGTAAAAAATCTAAAACATAATCTCATCTCAGTGAATCAAATTTGCAACAAGGGGTATAGAATATCTTTTGAGTTCGATGTCTGCTACATTGAAAACTGTGTATCTAGAGAAATTATTCTAAGCGAAATAAGATTAGGCAAGGTGTATGTTTTGGAGCTAGAAAAAGATAACATTTCTAAAGAACTGTGTCTGGTGTCTCTCATCGAGATGAGCAATTTAGTCAGTTAGGATTTAGTAAGAGGTTTGCCTAAACTGAGCAGTTCTAAAGACTTTTTCTGTGAAGCTTGTGTTAAAGGTAAGCAAACTTGTACCTCTTTTAAAAGCAAGCAAATTCTTTTCACTTCTAAACCTCTTGAACTTCTCCACTTATATCTGTTTGGACCAACGAACGTGGTTAGCTATGGCGGAAAATCTTATGCTTTTGTTATAATTGACCATTTTTCTCGATTCACCCGGGTATTATTCTTGGCTAAAAAGGATGAAGCTTTTGAAAAATTCCAAATTTTAGTAAATATGATTGAAATGAGAAACAAACCAAAATTATTGAAATAAGAAGTGATCATGGAGGTGAATTCATCTCAGATCAGTTTGGTACTTTCTGCCATCATAGAGGTATTTAGGGGTGTTCAAACATATTGGTTACCGTGGTAACCATATTAACAGGTAGCATTCAGTTAATTTGGTTTGGTTAATTTGGATAATTGGTCTGGTTTGGTTAAACAATTTAGCTTATTTGGTTTAGGTGGTTTGGTTTCAACACTGCTAACCAATGAAACCAATTAACCAATAAATGATACACCTAATATACAAAATTATTTATACTTCCATGCAACCAACCAAACCAAACTTTCGTGATTCCCTATTTTATTTTCATGTGCACAACAAACCAAAGCATTATAGGTCAAAAATTAAATGAGTCTGCCTATTTACTAAATCAAAAATTTTGGACAATTACTAGACTTTAGGATTACATAGAATACCATGACAGCTGCCTCAAACTAGGGGTGGGCATCCGGTTCGGTAAACCCAAACCGAAACCGATATTGTTGTTTGGTTCGGAATTCGAAAGTGGAAACTAGTTACTTCGGAAACCAGGATGCTCTCAACCGAAACCGGAATTCCGAATTCCGAATTGAAAATCGAAATATAACCCACACCCTAACTAAACCCATCCAATACCACTCTCCAGCCCACTGAAACCCAGCCCACACAGAAACCCAACCCACAGCCAACCTCATCCTCTCCAAACCCTAGCCTCACATCACAGCGGTCGCCACCCATCCTCTCAAAATAGCGGCCGCCACCGCCTAGCTGTCCGCCATCAGATCGGCCATCGCTCCGCCACGGATCGGCCTTCGCTCCGCCATGCAGACACCACGACGGAAGAGGAGAATAGCTCCCTGACATGCAAACTCTATTCCACACCTGATTGATTCGACCTGGACGCGGAGCAAAAAGTGGTTAGTAGAGGCGGAGGGGAAGGTCGAAAATCGAGGGAGAGAGCGGAGAGGCAAGAGGCGGAGAGAGGGATTGATGGCGAAGTGGTGAACGTCTTCTGTGGATTCTTCAGAGAGAGCGAGAGGCAGAGAAGATGAGGGAGATAGTGTTAGCGGCGGGAGACAGGCGGAGAGAGGGGTAGAGACGGAGAGGGAAGTCGGAACTCGAGGTGTGGTCGGAGAGAGTTTCCTCCGAGAGAGGAGAGACAGAGAGGAGAGAGAGAGTTTATGAAGAAGAAGTTGTTTGAGAAAGAGAGGGTGGAAGTGGGGGCGGCAGAGGTATATGTTGAAGTTTTCGATTTATGGCAATAAAACCGATCCGAACCGAGATATATTCGATCAAACCAAACCAAAATATATTTCGGTTCGAATTCGGTTGGGGTGTGGGAAGCTTCGGAAGTCGGTATTACCATTTCGGTTCGGTTCAAACTGAACCGACCGAATGCACACCCCTACCTCAAACTATGTATAGCTTAAGTGCTTGTAGGAGAGCTTTAACTTCCTGATGAGTAGTATTGGTATGTATTTAATATTTATGTTAAGGGTTTGTTGTAAGCTAACTATATTAGGTGGAGAGATGATGAATGATGTATTAACTCGAATGATGATGATAATCATGGATGGTTAGTCTTATTATTATTTCTTATATATAATGATAGTTTATGATTGTAATAACATATGGTTATTTTTTATTCAATAACAGGATAATTGTTTTCATGTAACGTTATGTTATTTGCTTAATCCGATTATCCGAATAACCAAACCAATTAAACTTTGGTTCGGTTAATTTGGTTTTCGTGTTAATTTGGACGGTTTGGTTAAGACATTTTATTCCATGGTTGATGAAATTTAGGCTTAATTGGTTTGGTTATTACCCCGGTAACCATTTGAACATCCCTAGAGGTATTCATCACAATTTCTCTACTCCTAGAACTCCTCATCAAAATGGAGTAGCGGAGTGAAAAACTCGTACTCTTATTGGTATTGCTCGTACCATGCTCAACGACTATAGCCTACCTAAATATTTTTGGGCTGAAGCTATTAATACAACTTGTTATGTTATTAATAGAGCTGTTATCAAATATGGCCTGAAGAAAATTCCATATGAAATTCGGAAAGGTAGGAAGCCAAACTTAGGAGATCTTCCTCGCAGTCAAAATGCATTGTGGTAGTGATTCGACTGGGGAAAGTCTCTGTTTCTCCTCGGCTCTTTCTTCGCGAAGTTCGGGCCCTGAGCCCTCCAATTCGCGGTAGCGATCTTCACCTTGTCTTTGCGGTACAGAATCTCAGTCATAATCTTTACTTCTAGGCCACGAGCTTCAGTCTTCTGCCCCCTGCTACACTTATGACCTTATTTTGTACCTAATTCGCATATATCGTCTAACACACCCTAAAATCACATCGAATTCAAATAGGAACGGAATAGTGATGCAATTGACGGTGTTTAAGCATTTATGCACATGAATTGGCACAAAACAAACCTCAATATGAAATGTAAATAACACCAGTTTAGGTGTTATCGGATAATTTAAGGTGATTTATAGTAGAGGGGCATGTTTGAAGAAAAGGCAGAGTAGAGAAACAGAATATTCATATTGTTTAACATATGACTGGTTGGTACACTTTATTGTCCAATTTTTTCTTTTCTTTTTTATAAAAGATAATCATATATATTGATTCGAACAATAGATCATTACATCCTAGAATTTACCCAGACCAGAAAATAAAGAAAATGACACATAGTCTGGTACAATGAAAATGGATTTCTACTCCGACCTACAAATCGCAAATTAAGCCTAGTGTGAGTAGCGAGATAGCACAAGACCTCCTCGAGGATGACCCCCATCCGATCACCTAGGGTATCTACCTGATTTATTTTATCAATGATCACTTTGGCATCTCCTTCAAACCTCGTCTCAGTAATCATGTTCTCTAGACACCAGAGAATAGCCTCCCACAAAACCAGTAGCTCGACAACCATATGATCATCAATATAAGCAAACTGCACCCCTTTCGCCAAGAGGACCCTCCCTCCTTGGTTCATGATAATCATACCCTTTGTCATTGACTCACTCTTAGTTGCCTCATCCCACATAAGTGAATTACGGTGACCACTTCTAAGGACCTTGTTTTATGGATAGATGATCACAGAATATGGTCAACTGGCAAACTAATCCACTCCTGGTACTGCTAGTGAAATTGTCGCATTAAAGCTAGGATCCAAAATTGTTTGCCCTCAAAGACAACCCAATGTGACCTCCAGATCCTCCAAAGGACGCAAAAAACCGCCATAAACAGTTGGGGTTGATGTATCAATAGCATCAACTTTTTATGGAAGAGCGGAAAAGTGTGACGAGGCAAACCTTGGCCAAGATATTCGTGGCCCGAATGGTCCCATAAAAAAATTTCATTACTATTTCATTTCTAGTCGTTTAGCATATGTGTAGAATTTCTTTTTGCCTTTCAAATTTCTCAAGAAATCTTTGGTGAAAGAATACCACAACAAGTACACCTTCTCCTTCCCTTCCATCGAGTCCGTCTCCCTGGCAAAACTGTCAGAACTATGGATCTAGGTGTGTGATTTAGGGATTGCAACAGATTAGGGATTGGGGATTTAGATGAGGGAGAATTGGGAATTGGATGAGAGAGAAGGCAGAGTGGGGTTCCCGGGGAGGGAAGGCGCCGACGGTGATGAGAGGAAAGAGGAGGTCGGCCAAGGTGAGGTTGAGAGAGAGAGAGTTGGGGAACAATTCTGTGTTATTGCTTGCCCTTGCCCTTGACCTAACATAACATGATATATATATATATATATATATCGACTAATTCCTGTTTGCTACCCGAATAATTAACCTAACCGAATAAACCCCCATAATTCCCGCCCTAGCACAAATCTGAATAATACGCAAATAACAATAAACCTCCAATAATTATGTTTCTCACAATCCATCCCCCTTGAAACCCACCTTGCACTCAAGGTGGGCCATCTTTCTTGTCCTCCTCCTTCATCTCGCCCCCTTCCGCTCCCAACTCCAAATCCTCGCCCTCGTCTTCCCAATTCCTGACCAGCAGCATTAAATGTCCCTTGGCGCATTGGTGTCCAACGGTATAACTCTCGTCGCAATTGAAATAGCGGTTGTCCCTGCATTTCTGATCCATTTCCACCTGGGTCAACCTCACGAACCCGCGTGGTGGCGCCCTGGCCGGAAATCGATCTCCTGAAACAGTCCCAGCAGCCGACGGTGAAGGTGACACCGCCCCAGCCCCAGTGCCACTATTCGCTCCTCCGCTGGCCTTCTGTATCCTTCCCACGGATGACCTCCAACTGGCTAGCTCCTCCTCCTTGCGACCTGCAAGTCTAAAAGCCACTCGAAGAGAATCAGGTTCAAAGACCTTGACCGTTGTGGCCAATTCTGGTGGTAGTCCTGCCATGCACAGCCTCACCAATGTCTCCTCAGTCATCTCCTTGCATTGATTACCGAGCTTCAGGAACTCAGCCCGGTATTCGACCACGGACCCTGTCTGCTTCAGCTTGGCCAGCTGCTCTGGTGCTCATCCCTCCGCTCTTCCGAACTGGTAACGGAGCTCCTCCTGAAACCTGGGCCACGAGATGTCTGCGCCTGCTTCCGCGTACGCCCGCTCAGTCCATTCCCACCATTGGAAGGCATCCCCTTCCAAATAGAAGGACGTCAGATGCACCTTTCTTTCTTCCATGATTAGGTGGTTCTTAAACCACCGCTCCGCTGCATATAGCCACAATCCAACATCGCCCGTTCCATCAAATTTTGGAAATTCAATAATCGGAGGTTTAGCTCTGAACAACAGCTCATCATCATAGTCATACAGGTTGTTGTACCCATACCTGCCACCGTCCAATGGTTTTGATGGGCGACCCGGCCCATAATGCCGATAGTCGGGATTCGCATTCCGCATCCCCGAGTAGGCCTAGTCGGCCATCTTCCACGGATAGTCTTCCTCGCGCCCAGGCTTGGTTCCAGAGCCATGTCCCACTACCATTTTGCGCCCCTACGCCCTTGATCCGCTCACGGAGTTCCCTATGGAGGATAGCCCGACTCGGGACCTAATCGATCGCGCCCGGACCCGCCCCCGGCTCCACTCCAGCAGCTGCCCCGTGGGAATCGTCCCAGTTCGGGTCGGTTCGGCCCAGTTCGACCCGGTTCAGGTCGCCCAATCTCGGTCCAACCGTCCTCGGTTCGCTGGTGCTGGTCCGGCCGGCTATTGGCCCGACTGGTCGCCCAGTCTGATCCACCCTAGGGTCAGCCACCCAGTTCTGGCCAGGCCCGTCGGCCCCAGGGTCTGCCCACCATCCTTCTTGGTCCGCGAAGCTCAGCTCTTCATCTTTCGGTCCCAACCCATCGAACTCGACAACCTTCTTCTTCCCGCGGGCTTCAGCGATCTCCTGGGCCGTCGGAACAGGCAGCAGACCCAACCCACTAAACACCGGCGCGACCCACTCCTCTCCGCCGTCGCCCGCTTCCCCGACCGACCTCGGCCCCGTGGCCTGGACTTCCCTACTCACCGCGGGCCCTGGCGGATTAGCGATCGCCGACCCGGCCACGCCGCCCATTGCGCTCCCCTTCTGCGCCGCGACCTCCTTGCCGGCAGCAGCCCCCGACGGCTTGTACCCCGCCGCTGCAAAGGGCCCGCTCGCGCCGCCTTTCGCGCCTCCCCCCTACGTCGCGACCTCTCGGCCGGCAGCAGCCCCCGGCGGCTTGGACACAATCGTCGCAGAGGCCCTGCTCGCCGCGCTTCCTTCAGCCGTGCCTGCCCCCTTCTCCGAGATCGGCTGATCCTCCGGCGCCAGCTCTTTGTTCTTCAGGACGCCGATCAGCACCTCCCTCACGGTCTCTGCGTGGGCTCGGCACAGATTCTACGTCACTGACTTGCCCATCCCCTCAATCGATATGGCGATTTGGCCTCCCAACGCCTCCATGGCCCCGATCGAGTCCCGCAAGGCGGCAGCTGCCCTTTCCGTGGACTCTGTTAGGCTTTCCAGCGTCGTGACGATCACGTCATACTTGTTCGTTGTTATGTCCTTCACGGTCTCGATCTCCTTGCCCTGATTCTGCTATTGCGGCTTGTCTGTGTTCGACATCTTCAATTTCTGAGGTTTTCAATAAATCAGCACACCAGCCAAGCTTTGATACCACTGTCAGAACTATGGATCTAGGTGTGTGATTTAGGGATTGCAACGGATTAGGAATTGGGTATTTTGATGAGGGAGAATTAGCAATTGGATGAGAGATAAGGTAGAGTCGGGTTCTCGGGGAGGGAAGGCGCCGACGGTGATGAGAGGGAAGAAGGGGTCAGCCAAGGTGAGGTTGAGAGAGAGAGTTTGGGAACAATTCTGTGATATTGCTTGCCCTTGCCCTTGACCTAACATAACATGATATATATATATATAAATCGACTAATTCCTGTTTGCTACCCGAATAATTAACCTAACCGAATAAACCTCCATAATTCCCGCCCTAGCACAAATCCGAATAATACGCAAATAACAAATAAACCCCCCAATAATTATGTTTCTCACAAAAACCTTCTCTCACACTCTTCCCTCTCCAATCACATCTCTCCCAATTTTCTTAAGCATTATCCTTCCCTCCCGTCGAGCCTCCATCCCTGATAATGCCTTCTCCCACGCGCTTCCCTCTCCATTCTCATCTCGCCCATTTTTCTTAGCCAAAAAGGAATACCGTTTCCTTAACCTAAAAGGAAGAATATTACTTGGTGGAGAAGGATTGTAATTCTTGGATTTTATAGCTTTTCTTTAAAGTGTTATTTTGCTGTAATTGTTAGTTTTGAATTTGTGTTTATTGTTCAGTAGTCTATTTAAATGAGGGGTGAGTGTCATTTTAAATCATTCAAGTTTATTCAATCAAATACAAGAGTTTTTACTTTTATTCCTATGTGAACGTTGTGCAAAGCTTTCTGTCAAGGAGTTCAATAAGTTTTCACGTGTCTCCTATCAACTAGAGAACATGTCTAGTTGTGGTGAGCATCTACCATATATCAATTGGCCCTTTCCATGAGTTGATTATGTCCGATTGGTTTCATATACCAACTGTCATTTGTCACGGGTTGGGATTATATTATTGATTCTGTACCTATCTTTATTTTTTAATTCAAGAAAGGAGAAATCATGAAAAGCATAAAAAATTTTGAAGTTGCGTACTTTGGTCATATCATTCTACGGAAAGACGAATGAAGAGAGGCGCAAGTATTGGGAAAGGAAATTCCCCTCCTGAAACTGTTTTCTATACCATGAGCTTTAGCCCTCTGGAGGAGGAAGTGCTGAAATGGGAGGATTTCTTGATGTTTCAGTTCACTTTTGGGGATAAAGACGAAGGCTTTTCTTCTGCACTTTGGCCTCCTGTGTGCAGGTGAGACCTGATGCGATCACGCTCACCCTTCATGATCTTATTCAAGGTCAAATAATCTCTTCACATGGACCAAGGTCCAAGAGAGGAATTAAAATATTCAAAGAGATATTGGAATGGGAGCATTCAAGATGGGTGAAAATGGCTCTGTAAGCAAGGCGTACGGGTTGGTTGATGTGAAACTGATTGCCAAAATATATAGTTCTCGTGGTTCAAAGATGAAGATTCATACTCGAAGATGTAAGGATTGATTAGGAGCATTCTTGACGGATAAATGGGTTTCTTACAACTACAAGTGAGTCGTGACCATGCATGGATGAAAGTAGGGAGAAGATGGACGTATTTATCGGACCAGAACTGTTAATGAATTTCTTGCTTCCCAAAAAAGGCATTCTTAATACCCAAGTCGTCCATCCTTGATGCCCAAGTCAACCAAGTGTGAAAAAGGAGACAGAAGGAGATTGCTTAACTAGAAAAGTGCTTCCAAGCATTCGTTTTGTTATATTCAGGTAACTGGCGTCCCTCGACATATTTTGCACTAGGTTGTGCTTCTTTTGTTATATTCAGGTCCTAGTACGTGTGGGAAGGTCGACGACGAGTTTCGGGATGATTGGAGATCGAAAAGTGCCAAAAAGTTAAGAAGAGGCCAAGGTCACAGTTTGGAGGTAATTGTCACGACCCTGAGGCCGTGATAATTGAGATTAGGGCGTGACAATTTCAAAGATCTAGAAGAGTTCGCACGTCTCGAGGGCAACGACAGATGTCACGGTCCCAAGACCTTGACAGTTTCCAGCTGACCGTAAAGATGGACTAAGATGATGGTGAACGCTTAGATCGCTTTCTCTTAGGTTGATGAACCCTAGATCTAGTTTTTGGTTTGAAGTTTATGTATGTGACAGATTCTATGTATGATTGGTGATTTTATCTAGTTGATGGATAGTTTTCATGAATTGTATGATTTTGGATTCCACTTCATGTCAATTGAGCTTTTGACCGAGGAGGAAAATAATCCCCTTAGAGCCCATCATTGGCGTCTTTGGGTCACTCCTATCATATGCCATTCTGGGTAATCCCCGAGGGAGTCGATTTGGTCGATGTCTTGGTGGTATATGAAACCCTAGGTTGAATAGAGCATTACCCATTTATCACATCGTCGTTCCGGGTCATCCCGAGTGAGTCAATCTGATAAGGGTATGGTAGTGATTCGATCGAGCTAGAATGGTACTCACCATCGATCCAAATGATGGAACTAGCGGGATTCAAGCTATGAGAGCTCCAAAACTTGTAATTAGCTAGTTATTTAGATTAGCTTCTTAATCGCTATTCTAGGTTAGCTAGATAACGAAGCCTTGAGCCGAAGTAAGGTACACTTAGGAGACTCGTGGTTCGATAAATTTTATTGCTTGCTTACCCGATGCTACACCCGGTCATCGGTTATGCTTGACCATCGATTGCGATGTGTAGTTAGAGTCTTGCCAGACGTGTTTTAGAGATTACTTATTTGCTAAAAGGCTTCCTTTAGTCATAAAAACAAGTTTTAGTCCTTATCTAATTGGTAGTATGTTTCCTACCTAGTTTGAGATTTGTTTTTCTATTCTTAGAAGGTTAGTTTTATGTTTTTGTAACCTCTAGATGTAAGACCTACGATTTTTAACAACCAGCATCATAATTTTATCGATGAATTGAAAAAGTTTATCTCGTGTTCCTTTGTGAACGTTTTGCCCAAATCTTTTGTCGAGGAGTACAGCAGTTTGTGCGTCTCTTATCAACTAGAAGATCACATCTAATTGTGGCGAGTCCTACCCAAATCGGTTAACCCTTCTCAGAATTTGGAATTGTTTGATCGATTTCTCGCTTTTAACCTTGGTTCGAGTGAAACAACGTGAATATCGAAGTTGGCTGCGTACTTTGGTAACCGTTGAATCCAGGAGTTCGAGTCTCGATTCATATCAAGTCCTTCCATCCTATGTGTTGCACAATCAGCAATACACAGCTCCTAGCGATAAATGTGAAGAACGACGTTGCTTGACGGGTTCACCCAGGATTAGCTTGAATTGCTATCCAAAGTGTCCAAACCCTGAGCTGGTGGCCAGAGTGGGCAGCATTCGGATTCGTCAACCATCATGATCCCTGCTTTAGGGAGATACTAGAGGGCTCTATGTCTGGCCAACCCAAGAAGACAAATGCAGTGATTCGAATTCGTGTATTTCAGTTCCTTCATTGAAGGAACACTTGTGGTGAATGTCGAGGATGCGTTACAGATAATGAGCAATGATGTTCACAAAAGCGTTGGGTACTGTCATTTCCCAGCAAGACTATAGGACAGTTTACAAGACTGGCCTGTATCTTGATTACTCCACGCATTTCTTTAGCCAAGGTCACGATGGAAAGAGTACCTTGGACTTTGACAAGATATGAAAGAGCCCTAGGCTTTTTTGGGTCCATGTTGATGCGATTGCACATTTTAAACATAGCTTGTTTGCAGTTGACTGATACGTGCATTAGCTAAGTTAAAATAATTACCATCCCAACCAAGCCAAATATCTTGAACCAATTCAGTAACATTCATTATATGTATTGAAGTAGTTCGATTCAACCAGGCGTGACTAAAAAGGAACACGAACGAGAGCCAGAAGATTGAAAATGATCAATACTTCCACTACACAATCAGTAGATGTCGAATAAGGTGTATTACAAAGATGGGACAAAATTGATGCTAATCTATCACAAAATACAGGATGTTTGGATAGATTAGTCACAGGCCGCACACATCAATTCTCATGAAAAGGCATAGCAGAAGAAAGAATACCACCCAACACTAGGAGAGCTGGAATGCTGTTAACCACACACCACTACGAAGCTCGATATCTCTGTGATCACCTAAACCTCTAGCAACAGCATTAGCCACCCAAAAATTCCAACCGTGATCTACATCACGGTTCACTGTGATAAAGGCATTTCTGGTTCTTCTACCAAGGGGTTATCCACTGTTTTTTTTTTAACCCCCAACATCATTCCTTATAAACTCTATTTCTCTTTCCTAGTTAAGGACTCTCCCTTGTGTTCACTGCCTGCGGAGACCACAAAGCCTGCTCCAATCTGTGCACAGGAAGAGCGAAGTTTATTACTACCTGCACAACAAACTCAGTCACATGCACTCACACTCGAAACAGGAGCAGTTAGAAAATTACCTGACAGTCTTTTAGTACAACCCGCTCTTGGATCTGAACATTGCTGCAAACTATCGAACCTTGGATTGAACTGCCATCTCCGAGGGTAACATGGTCCATGACAACTGAATTAACAATCTACAGAAATAGCACAAGAGACGGTTTATATCAACTTTCAGAACAAGCTGATGGTACTACTTCTTCTGCTCAAGCTTCACCAATGACCCTCTGCCTTACCTTAACATTGGAACCTATCCTACAGTGGCGACCAATAACAGAGCGCTTTACACTGCATTTGTCACCCATTAATGATCCTTCACCCAACATACAATGAGGCCCCACCTATGATTGCCAAAACAATCACATATCAAAAAGCAAGCATATCTAGTCTTCCACGATTTGAAAGATTTTGGTCACGGGTGAAATACCACTTATCAATGAGTGTAAAAGCAAGGTTGCTTCTACATGTGACTTACAGTAGTCTTTGATCCCAGCTCTGATGAAGGATGTATGATGTTGTTATGAACAGAGAAGGAATATCCAGAGAGATGATTGGCTTCACCTATGACCTGACATTTTTTAAAGATAAAAATCTAATTTCTGAAATGATCAAGGAAATTTAGCAGTAAGCCATAGCTAGGTAACTGAAGAAGAGCTTCACAGCTATAAACACTCACATCACGGTTAATGTCACTGAATGCTTGAATGGAATTTAAGCGTGCACAATACTTGCTGTTGCTGGCAATATAAGCACAACATTTATGAGTTCTTTGTACTGTTGGAGATCCATTTTGAATTGATTCATAAACTTCATGGAATCTTGGTGTAGAAGCGTTGGCCAATATTTGAGATATTATAGTTTGGTTGCTCTCAGAAGTGACCTTATCATGTCCATTTTCTTCTGCTTGTGGTGTACCATTCAGTAGAATCTCTGATTTCTGTATGTTCAGAGACAGTTAAAACAGTTCAATTCTTCATAACATCAATTAAAGGTTCATTGGAAATCTGATTAGGAATCAACAAACTAACCAGCTGGGTCCTAACAAGATAAGGTAGTACATCGTGTCTCAAGCTGTGAAAGTTTTGTTTTTGTTCTAAAACCTCCAGCAGAACAGCCCTGGAAGATATAAGGAGGGAAAATGAGAATTGATATATTTGTTCTAACAAAATTTGTAGGACTGAGAAAGTGAAATGGACAAACCTCTTGAACGCGTACATATGGGCATCCATAAGATCGGCTTGTATATCCATCTATTAAGGGATTCACAGAAAAGATTGTTATAACCGAAACTGAAACAATAACCCTGCAAGTATTTACTTGCTTCTGAACATTCAGAGCATATGGTTTGGCAATCAAGAGAATAACTTCTTACTCCAACTAAAAGTGAGAATACTAACAGAAGACATAGGTTTGCACACCAACCAGCATTGAGAAGTTAGCCAATGATCCATTGATGTGGCTAACAAACAGGCAAAGTACAATGAATTGAAACAAACAAAGCCGAGGATGGTTTCATAGTCACTCCATGTCAAACTAGGCCCATTATTACAACACTCGTAAGTTCTGTAGGCTTCTTAGTACAAGCATCACCATCTTGTCATTCGTAACAGAAAATGTTGGAAAAGGCTCACAAACGGATGGCTAGGTATTTACCTGACCAACAGCACGAAGAATACTCTTGGCGATATGAAGATCCTTTTCAACTTCAGCTCCTGAGAAACAAATTTATAATAAAAAAGAATAAAGTGATGCACGATGACAACAATAAGTAATAAAACAGGAAATAGCACATATATTTACCTGAGGCAATGTACAACAAAAATTGCTTTGTAGGGTCCAGCCCAATAATGTTGAATCGCCTGGGCTTCTTTATCTTGTCCTTAGCACCAACTGATCCAGATTCTACAGGCCCGCTGACTGGTGTAGAACAGATCATTGAAGTGACTACAGCGTCATGCCTTCTATGGGCAGCTGCAACAGCACCAGGAGGAACATCAGAAACAAGATCACCACTCACAACCTGCATAAAAAGATGATAGCAATTTAGTTAACATTCTCCAATCCCTAAAAAGCTATTACTAGTACCGAGAGAACCGAATGCAAACCAAAATGTCCTTTGCTGTCAAGTGGCGTGCGATGGCCCGGAGAGCACCAGCAGTTCCAACATCCTCAGGAACTGCAGCAACCTGCATTCTCATATAACATCCTTCAAATGCTATAGACAAAAGAGAATCTTGTGCAGTTCTCATAAAGGGGGAAAGGAAGTTATATCATTGGCTTAGCATGCTAAAAAGGATGAACTGGTTCAGCAGAACAAAACAGGCAAAACAAGTCATAGGCAAGGTAAAGAATGAGTAATGTGCCTTTGCGATGAGGAGAGGGGGAATATCATGTCAATGAACCATCTATTTGATTATCAGGCTGTACCGTTTTTGGTCATATAATCTTCTTCCTTTTTAATCATTGGGTTAACGAGTAAGAAGTGAATGAGATTTATGGATCTATCAACTGTCAAGATTATTCAAATAAGCAATATATAAGCAAGCAGGATATTGAGCATAGAAGGGAGATGGTTTCAATTGGCACATTTAAGCCATGCTTTATCAAGTTAGAACCAAAATGAAGAAAGTTACATTAGAGAAACCAAGTTATATCGACCAATGTTTTACGAAACCATCATTTTTAGGCCACCCACATAGGTACTGTTAGCATACCCGTAACGTCTTTTCCATTTCATCCAATGCAGAACCATGGAATTAGACAGGTACCTCAACATGCAGGCGGTCCACATAAGCTCCTGAAATCCATCCACCAACACGTAGAGCTGCATCTTCCCCTTCAACAACCTACGCTAACCCAGAAGATTATAAGAAAACGCTTGAAGAAAAGAAAGAACTTGGAATCCTGATACCCAAGACGAACCCACTAGTCCAACAACTAATATTTCCAGTGAGAGCATCTTGTTTCGTCATAACACAGAAACAAAGCAATCAAACACGGGAACTAGGGGGGAAAAAGAAAACTACAACAGAGAAAAGAAAGAAGGCCTACCACAATGAGATCCTTGAGGTTGCTGAGCTCTAATTGCTCTAGCACGTAAGATAGAACCGGACGGTTGGCCACGGGGAGCAAAGGTTTTGGCACTTCCTGCATTCAACAAGAAAACAACGAACAAACCCCAGAAGGTAGCAAATTAGACGGAGGGGAAGCGGACCCAATTGATTGCCCCAACAGAAAAACGTAAGTGGAGACGAGCGTGGTGATATTCTGGAGAAGAATAATTTGGTGGTTTCTAGTTCATTTGATTGCAGAAAAATTGGAAAGTTACCTTGGAGACAAGAGGAACAAGTTCTTTCGAAGTTCCGCCGGCTAGCACGACGACTTGGAAATCCATTTTCTTGAGCAGAATTGGAAGATGGAGGAAAGGGAGAGTGGGGAAACGATGAAAATATGTAAAGAGGGTTTTGCGTTGGCCACTGTTACAGAGTGTGGGATTGGAGGGGGGTTTCTGAGGATTCTGAATCTTCCAAAGCAGAAAGCGATGAGGACTTCCTCCTTCAGCATTATTAGCAACGGGATTAATGCACTTGGTTTAGATATTTAGTCATGTGGTGATATAGTCTAAGGTCGTTTGCTTCAAGGATTTGCATCATAGATTTGGTACTAAAAAACTAACTATCAAGGATTTACATACAATCCTTTATTTGCTTAGTTAAAAAATGTTGAAACAAATCCGTGGGCCCCATAGATTTAGGTTTTTTTTCTCCTCCAAATCCGTGGGGCCCACAGCTATACAAATCTCACATGATTATTAGGGAATTGGTGATGTGCTGAAAAACCAAGAGGCCAATTGACACTCCTATCCTCATTCTTTTTCATTAAACCAAAATTGCTCTCTTTATCCCCACCATATCTGTCGCTTCTACTTCCCATTCTCATTCTTTACACACCAAACCAAGGAAGCTGCGAAGAGTTCTTCAGTTCCTTTCCTAGAAAATTGCAGCCCCCACCAACAAAGGAATTCTTCGCCCGACGTTGAGTCCGCGTGCAGCCGGCATCAATCTCCGACGCTAAACCCAAAACCCAGATAAGCAGGACACTTCCTTCTTTGCGTTGAGTCCATTTTCTTTGGTGAGCTTTTGCAAATCATAGGAACCATATACATACAATTAACTGCTCACAATTGCCTATATGCCTTTTGTTCTTGGACTGTACTGTGTTCCATTATATGACACCTTAGGTATGGGCTTTTGTCTGTTAATAACAGAGCAATGATCAATGATCGAATCAGTATACTTTATGCATGATTATGGCATTATATTTGTTTGTTCCTGGATTTTAGTAGTTAATGCAGCCTCTGACTTCTGCCATTTTCACATTGAACTAGTTCTTGTATCTTTTGGTGCTTGTATCAGCTGCTCGTGCCATCGAGTATATTTTATGAGAAGGCTTTTGTAGCTGCTAACAAGGAAAGAAGGGAAACAAAAAACAACGGCAATCCCTTCCTTTTAATGGGTTAAAAAAAGGGCAATAAGGTAAATGTAGATTTTTATTTCTAAATCCCAAACCATTAAATCCATGATCAAAATGAGGAAACAAACAAAGGATTTTTTCAAATCCATAATGCCCCAAATCCCAAATAAAACCTTAGGTTTTTAAATCCCACATTTAAGTAAAAACCCTCATTTTACAATCCTTGAAGCAAACGACCCCTAAATGGTAGAGTCTCCTTCATTTTTATAATTTTTGGTAAAGTGTTCTTTTGAAATAAAAATAATGTGATGTTAATATCTTATTTTGACATAAATTTTGCATTAAAAAAATAGAATCTTAGTCCGAAATTTCAATAAAATTTGACCCAAATTTTAAGTTGACCATTAATACTTAATGGTTAACTATTTCCACTGTCACTGACTCACCCAAAACTGCCGACGTGGCTTATGCATTGGCGCCACGTTATTGATAATTATTTATTCAACCTTCTTTCTTAATTTTGGGAATTCAAGAAGATTTCCTTCCACAACGAGAGTCTAAGAGCCAATTGGAGCTCATGGTATGGTGTAGTGATTTGCCTGCGGTACCGAGGAAGGATGCTACAACGTCGACTATATCGATTGGCCCTTCTCATAGGTCGGGGATTGTTTGATCGATTTCTGCAACTATCTTTATTTTTTGTGTTATTCAAGAAAGGAGAAACCCCAAAAGAGTTCGACGTTGTACAATTCTGATTTTTGGTCCGAATTTGAGAGGATTCTCGAATTAAGGTCATATCAGTATGGGATGGAGTTAAAAATGGAGACTATCATGGCAAGTGACTCATTGGAGCTTTTCATGGAGAAATTTGAAAGAACATGCTCCAATATGCATTCCAACCCCACCTCCTCCTGATTTGACGCTACAAGAGAAGGTTGAGCAAGCTTGTGCACGCCTTCATCTCTTACCATTTGAAGCGAAAGAGGAGGTTAAAGACGCGATCAATGAAGATCATGTGGAGCAAGAGGAACTCATCCGGGAGAGCTTCTATGGTGAGGATGACCAAGAGTGTCTCATTGACGACTTTCACACCCTTCCCCATCCCAAGACCAAGTCACAAAGGTGGTGGAGCAAGACTACCCTTTCAACGATCTTGCATGACGTCTTGCCCTCCAATTTGTGCTTAAAGTAAAGGATGGGAAGGTTAGAGAAGGGGTTGAGGAGGAGGAGGAGGAAGTAAGCATCAAAGAGGAGAAATGTTTTATTATTCCCAAGGGGAGGAACAAATCTTGGGAGAAGGAAGGAAGGTTGAGGATGTAAATTGTGTCTGATCAATGGAAGACGCCGTGGTGGGTGAAACTTCTACAAGTTACAAGTGCCACCAAAGTTTTCCACCCAGCCTTGATGCTCTACTCTCAAAGGACCCGTTTGCGGTTTTTTGAAAAGCCAAGGCCAAACCATCTTCGATCTCTCTTGGTGGATGCGATGGTGGTCAATCCATGATATCCTAGATGGTATGGGTCAAAGAGAAAAATGAATAAGGAAATAAGAAGAGGTCTCATGGGTGGAGCCTCAAATCTAACCAAATTCACAAGTCATTACCATTACTTTTCACATAACATGCTCGTGACTTGAGACGCCACCTTGCCGATGAGAACCTCAACTTCAAGAAGGTTTTGGGATGGACCAAAACTTGACATCACCCTCCGACTGATCAAGTTAAAGAAAGCGCTTGTTGGAAGGCAACCCAGCCATCGGTTTGCATTCATTTCCCTTCAATAACACAACCTTTGTGGGCTTACGATGTTTTGGAAGTTGGAGCATAGTTGTGTATGCCCAAATTTAAAATATTTCAAGGCTCCAAGCACATGTGTGGTATTATTATGATTGGGACAATCAACTTTTTGAGGTATGGACTAATCCTATGCCTCGATCTTCCTCGCCAATGACAATGTGAATTTTACTCGTCATGGTAAGGCAGATCTATCACACATGAAAAAAAATGATCGACACAAATCTCACATGGCTACCTAGTCACTGAATCATTCATTCCAATTTCAAAAATTTTGATGCATGGAAATTGCAATCGATGAGTACTCAAGTCAAGGCATCTATCGATTCGCGCACATATGAGAACTAAACAAATGCACCAACCTAATGCAATTCTCAATCATCATAATAGGATGAGCTCAATCGCAAGTAATCAATCCATAGTCAATGCCAATAAAAACAAGATTCTCCAACAACTGGCCACTTCGATCAACCGAAGCCTTCAATTAAGCTCCAAGATAACTCACTCTCTCTAGAACTCCTCTTTGGTGTTTTGTGTCAAACCCCTAGAGAGAACCAAGTTCTCCTCCAAAAACTAGCTCTCCTTTCTCTCTCCCAACTGCTGTCTTTTTATACAGATCGAGAGTCAAGGTCTCGAGCTGAATGTCACGACAGTGACATCGGACACTCGACAGTGATCGTAGAGGAAAACTCAGACGTTTGTTCCTATTTTTGTCCAATGTCACACTGGCACGCTAAAACACAACACCAAACTGCGACCAAGTGTAATCGCAGTCTGGAAATGCAGTAAAGTGGCAAGTACTAATTATCAACCCGGGGTCTAGATCTACTGCCTACTCCATGTTTATCTATTAAGCGAAAACAGTAAGAAAGCAGGAAATGGTTCAAAGTTCTTTAGCAAGGGAAGAGTCACTCGGGAATGAGTCCTCCTAGCTCCTTAGTTAGGTCGAGGTTGTAATTACCCTAGGTAGATTAACTGTTGATTAAACTCCGGAAGATCCGACAGTAGCTTGGAATCTCTTAAGCTGACCAAGCCCTCTTAGTCAAACTACCCGGCAGACGACTAGTCTTCACCGGGATAAAAAGCTGAGGCTATGAACACAAAACTCCACTACTGGAATTGAATTCCAACGCAAAGCAGTAAATCGATTAACTCTCGTATAACCAATCTATCACTACCGATTGATGAATCTCTAACAACCTAATCAGATTCTATCTATCTCAGGTTGCAGCAGAAATCAAGAAAAGATGATCATGCTTTAATTGACTCAATGAATCATGCACCAATCGATTAAAATCAATCTGTATAACAATCCCAAGTCATTACAATCAAGATCCCTAACACATGGAACTAGGTTTCTTTATACCCAAGTGAGAGAGGGTTCTACTCCATAGAGAGAGAGAGAGAGAGAGAGGAAAACAGAAATCAGAGTAGTCATATTCATAAAGATGAGGATAATCTGCTCTGGGATGTCGATCTTCACTCCTGGGGATGCAATATAGGCTTCAATGGTGAGAAATCCACTCCAAATAGCTCCTAGGGTTTGTTCTTCACACTTTCTCTCTATAAAGCTTTGTTTTTTGCTCAAAAACTCGATCCCCCTTCTTTGGCTCGAAATTGGGTTAAAACCCAGAGTTTCCCGATCACATGGCTGTGCGGCTTTCCAGTCTGCCCGTGTGAGTGTCAAAACGCCGCATTTCACTTAGTGGTCTTCAGGCACGCTGCACGGCCAGAAGCACACGGCCGTGTGGATTTCCAGTTTGGCTGTGTGAGCTCTCTGGACTTTCCACACGGCCACAAGGGGTCCCATACACGGCCAGTGTGGCTTGGCCATGTAATGGGATTCCACACGGCCGTGTGGATTCCTCAGCTCCTCGCGAGACGTCCAACTTTCGTCCAATCGACCCGAAACTTGCTACCAAACCTCCAATCACGTACTAGGACCTGAAATAACACAAACGAGAATAACCTAGCGTGAAATCGGCCTAAGATACGAAAAATGAGGCTGAAACGACATAAGAATGGCAGATAAAAACATGTGTATATATCAAGTCATCAAATTCCCCCACACTTAACTGTTTTCTTGTCCCCAAGCAAACTTGACTCAAACCAATAAAACTCTCCATACCTCTATAGCCACATGCAACCCAGATCGTCGACAGAGGATTTTCTAGATCATTTAGCAAATTACGAGGTCAACTGGTCTTCTAAGACGCCCCCTATCTCTCTCAATGCGACTACTAGACTCAAGCCAGGATCATGAGACGCAGTGGAACTAAGACAATCAATTCATGGATAAGGAG